GAGATTCTAAAATTGGTCCTGTGGTGATGAGCAAAGTGGGCAGAAAAGAATTAAATTTGAGTGGATCTGCAAATAAAGATCTGAAATATTTTCATGTACTGTATATATTCAATAATTGATATAAAAGAGAAAATAAAAATCCTCAACTTGTTCCATGAAAAATAATTATATTAGATTTAAATTTATTATTATTAAAAATGGATAAGATAAATTATCTTGAGACCTGGGATTTATTGATTGAACTAAAACAGATAAACAAATAAATAATGATGGTCATTTATTTATAAAGAGAATTATTGATATTGTCATTATTTGAGTTGAGAGAATGTTTATAGTTAATGCCAAACAAAATAGATTTAAAATATAAATCAGAATGAATAGGAAATATGCCAGCAAATGGCTTTGATTTGCAATTTGAATACAGTCAAAACTGTATTTGATTTTCTAAGAATTCTTGTATACATTTCAATTAATTATATACTGCTTGAAGCATGATTTCAAGCTCAAACATGATTTTGAATTTGAGGCAGTATTCTAACCATATAAGTAAATGAAATATACATATTACAAATCAAATTATATAATAATAAATAAAATAAAATAAACAAATCACTTGACTTCATTATTCTTGTAACAATATTTGTTTACTTTTCATAAATAATCAAATTTTATCAATGCTACCTACAATAGCAAAGAAATATGGGACTCTATATTAGCACAAAAGAATTTTAAATTACATACAAACCTATATCCCCTTCAATTAGATTTCAAAAGTGTACCAATGGATTCAAATAATTGCTTGATTAACCTTGGGACATGTAATGGTGTGATTGTTCCAGCCTTGGATCACTCTGGCAATTTTTTTATCTTGTATTTTTTTCAATATGATTAATTATATATCTTGGTTAAAATAAAAAATAAAATAAACACAATATTGCTACTTAATACTTTCCTCATGTGTGAATTCCTTTGTCCCCATATTCATCACAATAATTATTCAATACATTTGATATCATCATTGAAATAACAAACAATTGCATCACCTGGGTAATAATAATACCAAGGCCATGCAAAAATGAAGCTTTTAATAATGCATGCCTACCCAGACCTCTGGGGTTCACAATAATAAATTATTTTTCCTGATTATCAATTATGGTTGCTCATGAATAATAAATCTGATGTTGATCACAGGTGTCAGATTTAACTAAAATTTTCCTGCCACAAACATGCAAGCGTTGTGCTTTCACACGCCTCATAACTGTGGATTTTTTCCACAGGTGAAGCAATTGAACATGTTGGAAGGCTTTGGACAAAACATTTCCTTATCTTTTCTCAGACCAGGCTTGGCTGTCACCATATGGGCATTGATCACTGATAGCTGGTGTTTGTGTGATGATTGCTTTGTGTTATTGCCACACTAGCATAAAAGTTGGCACCTGCAACTGGTTGAAAATTCTGCAACTCAGAAGGTTGCAACCTGGATTGCTGTTTTGGATTTTCCCTGAATTTAGAGTTGAGTCCTGGATTGCTGTAATTTTTATGAAAAGAAAAGTATTAATATTTAACAATTAATTATTTAAATGTTTATTTTGTTGAAAAAAAATATACATTGATAGTGTACATTTTCTGTGCTTGACCCAAAGTCTGGACAAAAGATCCCTTTCTATGAGTTTGGCTGGTGTATCCCAAAGGCGTCCCCTGTCTTGTCAGTGGCATGCCTACTCACCAACAACCCTACTGCCATTTACTAAAATAACAAATTCAGTTGGTCAGACAAAAATTAAAGAGAAGCAGAAAATTTGGGAAAATGATTAATTTATAACAAAACATACCAAACAAAATCCGAACCATTTTATAACTTTTTCTTTGTTGGCCATATTGCTGACAAAGATGTATATGATCGTGTGATAATTTTAACCTACAGGACAGAGGACTGGTTGAGCAAAAACCCCATCCAGTCCCCTACCCAAAATTATAAATCGGTTAGCATCAGAAAAACAAAACATTTATGAAAATGATTATACAAAACAAACACTATTTTACAACTTTCCTCTTAACATCAGAGTCCAAATGCCACCAACCCTGCTCTGAATTGTGACCTCCTGTGCTTGGAACGAGTTGCAGATTCTTTTAATATTCATCAACAGAGTTGCGACTTGGTCACAGTGCCATCCTTACCCTAGAGGCAGGATAATTGCAGGCGACTTTTCATCCAACGTGCCAGCGGCCTTCTCTGGTCTGGGTGCTGTGAGGGAAGATTAGTGAAAGCGTCATTGACGATTGGTGCAGTCTCGGTAAACTCCAGGGCCTTGGGCCTTCCCCCTGGATTTCTGTTGCATCATCATTGTATCATCGGGAGCACCGTGGTCAGATTAGCCTTTCTACATGAGGAATACGTGTGAATGACTGTAAAGTGTTCAAGGCAGCGTGCGTGCTTCAACACCTGCCAATTTCCGATAATCAAATGTCGCATATTCGAAATGTCTCTTTTTCAATGGTGTGCTGCCTTGACTCCTTGTGGTTATAATATTTATAATATAGTAATATTAATATTATTGATTACGAAAAGCAAAATATTATCAATGAAAATCTTGTAATTACCGCAACAAGATCTGCTCCACGTTTTGATTTCCAATTAAAATGTTTATATAAAATAAAAAATATCAATCATTACAAGTAAAAAATAGTACCTCTGGTTAGTTATTAACACGTCTTCTTTAGGAGACCCAAAGCAAACCAAACAACAAAACTCACGTTTTGTCACCTTGGACTCTGTCAAAAAATAAATTGTTTTCCCAAGAAAAAAAAAAAAAATTCGTGTCTGTCCTACCAAAAAAAAACCAATAGGATAAATAATTAATTTGTGCGCGTCAATTAATTCACAAACTTCAAAAAATGTCAAAGAGTGCTACGAAAAAAAGAAAAGCCGATACAGACCGAGATGAAAGAGAAAGGTAAGTGTTTTAAGGGTGGTGGTGGTGGTTATCGCCCACCACTCGTCGTCACTCTAGTTATTTAATATATTTGGTGCAATGGATTAAAACTCTTGCCCTCTTTATTTAGACTTACGGATGTAGGCAAATTATTTTCAAGGATTATTTGATTAAAAAAAGTTTTTTACTACTTTCTTACCAGTGTTTTGCTATTAATTTCATTAAAAAAAGTATTATATTGATGAGAAAGGATCACCTATTCCAGTGGCAAGTTTAGTGTGGAACGTCATGAGAATTAATATGCAAATTACAAATTAATTTTATTCTAAAAAAATTTTTCCTGCATTATAGATCCGTATTGATGATGGTGATGGGCTTGATGTGAGTACAACACATATATTGAACTATATTTACTGATATTTACTAATTGGTCTTTTACTCTCACAGTGTCTGCATGAAATACCCAAAGTATGTTGAAATATAAGTTGCTATTTTACTGCTTGTATTCCATTCCACAATCCAAAAAAGGAAAAAGATGGATGTGAAGGTTGTGACCAGCATCCTTATTTACTACTAACAGTACTAACTTTCTTGCCATAGTTGCCTTTATCAGAAGCTTCGGGTTCGCTCTATATACCTGATTCTGATATATCTGCAGATTCATTGGAATATTTAAAAAAAAAAAATCCTTTAAGATTTGAGTATCTCGTAGGTCCTGGAATGTTAGAATTTGGATTGACAGAAGAATCAGTGATAGTAAGTATAAATTATTGATACATATGTATATTGTTTAAACATATTGAGTGTAATTGTTGGGTTGTTATTTATCATTTTTCTTCTTTTCAAAAGTGGACAGCCAAAGACACAAACATTTCAAATTTATGTGATAAATTTAGAACAAACTCAATTAAGGCTTCTGAAGAAAAAATTTTGTCTGCACATGAAGAATTGTTTGTGTCATTTTTTGTTTTTCCTAGATTAATTTAGTTTAAAATGCTAATAGTTTTATTTTACAGAGCTTTAAGCCATATTTTCTTGCTTGAAGAAGGCATTAACAAAGGGTTAAGGCAATATATTGATGATGAAACATGGACAGAAATATTTAAAAAATTTCGTTTGGAGTATAAATATGTTAATGTTGATGAATCAGTCTGGGAGATTTGGAACAATATTGTAAAGGTAAGTAATTTAAATCTCAAAAATTGGCATGAGCTGGATATTTTTATAATTTATTGATCTGCTATCAATCTCATAGATCACGTGTAAACAAATTGATGATGATCAATTTAAGGAAGAGGTCAAAGATTATTTAAGTAATTATAATTTTAAATCAAAAAATGGTAATGATGATAATCAAGAGGAAATAATTAAATCCATTTTTATAAATTTGTAAGTTTAATTAATATCTCTCATTCATGTGTGACAAACATCTCTAAAATGAATATTATCATTACACAGGGTAGACAAATATCAACTTGATGAAGATGCAATTGTTGAAGATACGCATATCCATAAATATTTATCACCATTAATTGACCCATTCTTTCCTGAAAATCAAAAAATTAAAGTTGAATGGTGCGTATCTACAATTTGTATAGATATTGTATCAACAAAACATAAACTTTTTATACCTATTTTGTAGGGCGAATAAGATGTCAATATCTTCTGCAGAAGATAGAAGGTCATTTGACCCTTCTCTCTTTGGTTCCAAACCTGATTTTTTAATAAGAACAACAAACACAAACTATGTTGAGCTGCTTCTAGCAGAAATTAAACCTACAAAAGTTTCAATTAAATTATTTAGCAATGATTTAGTTAAGTTAGGAAAAGAGATGAAATCATCAATTGACAAAATCATTGATGAGGGTTTGTTGGATGTATCTGTTTATGGTATACATGGTGCTGGTAATTAACTATTTAAATGTTAATGTCAAAATTTGTCATGGGATTTGACTTTCAAATTTATCACAAAAACTTATTGAATATAATTTTGTAATTAATTTTAAATTTATTTCTAAGGAGAAATATGTAAATGTTATATAATGGATCTAAAAAGTGAAGGAATTTATAGAATGATGGTTTTAGGCAAATTCATAATACCAAGAGACCCAACATCATGGGCAACCGTGATTAACTGTTTCCAGATCCTGATAACATTAAAGGTATGATAAAGTTTATTTGTACATTTCCTTATATTAACACTACATGATATTAAAAAATAATGTTCATCTTTTCAGGGGCTTGTTTATGAATCAGCCAACAATTATTATGACACTTCCAGACAAATTTTATGTGAAAATAGTGAAAAGACAACATATCAACAAAAATTCAAAAGACATGGTTTTCATCCTCCACTCAAATTAATGGTTAATGGTTAATAATAATGTTTTTTATTTATCTGAAAAAATATTTCTGATAAATTGACAATGATGTAAATATAGTAATTAAAATTATCACCAATTATTTAATAATAAGAATGTTTGATTTTAAAGAGAAATGTAAAAATTAATAAGGCTGATGAAATAAAAAAAATCAAAGTTGGAAAATTGAGACTTTTTTCTTTTCCAAACAAATAATTATTTAACTTTTTTATCAATAAATATTGTAATGATAATGATAAAAAATTGCTACATCATCTCTGAATAATTATTTTTGACTTGTCCAAGTGGATCTGTAAATGTTACAGTTCAGTGAATAAGATGACTTCTTGATCCAGCAATTTGATATAAATTGATTAAGGGAAACAGATGTCACAAAACCCTTTCAAAAGCTATTGGAAAAAAATCTGAAAAACAGCAACAATGGATTACAGTGTTTGTGCTGAGAAAATAAGAAAATATTTCAGGATGTTTGTGCACTTTAGAAAAGAAATTAAGAAAGTTGAGAAAATATATAAAAAAAAGATCCAGAGAAGAAATGCATCCAAGAGAAAAGATACCAGAACATATTAACCCACAAAAGAAAAATTTGTACTTATCCTCACTTTTAGATATTAATCTTACATAAATGTGGAACAAGTTGCTGATATTACAAAGTACAATTGTGATGTTGAACTGCCCCAAATAGTAATAATTATAAGTAGCCCAAGGCATGTTTCAGAAAAAACACAAAAATGACAGGGTCATGTTAATCACCCCCATCAACAGATACAATTCCTTCTTGATTTATTTATTTCTTCATCCTGTATTTTTCATAATAGAAATAAATCATTAGCAAGAGATCAAGATTATACATATGGAGATTTTAATGATGAGAGTGAAGAATGAGTTGAATACTTTAAGCAGTTATATGAAATCAGTAAAGAGCCTGCCAAGATGAATTATAATCAGGTTCCTGATTTATAGATCGTTCCAAGAGGCTTTAAAGTCCACTCTGGCACTGCTGTGTCTACCTTTAAACTGAAGGAACCATATCGTCTTAGAAAAACCATTCTAGTTAAAAATACTTATTGAAGTACATGGTTTTTTTTTATTTGAATACACTATTAACTATTTCATGTGAAGAAAAAATCGTTGGTTCATAATATTGTCTTGTTTTTTATTTTTAATATAAACAAAAAAAAAATATATATATAAAAATACTATTTAAGTTTACATATATATTTATATTATTAGGGTATGTTAATCCTAAGTTTAATATCCCCCAGTACTATAAAAACAATAATAGAGAAATGAATTTATTCAATTATGGCAACATATTTTGGATACTGATGGTTACTTTTCTTTTAATTATCCAACTATAGTAATAGTTCTTCAAATAGCACTTCTTATACCTCTTTCTAATGCTCATGTAGAAAGAATATTTTCTCAAATGAAATTAATTAAAAACAATTTGAGAAACAAAATGCATCTAAATACATTAGATGGTTTTATTAAATAATCCAGAAATTGAACATTTCGATTTTTTAAAAGCATATGAAAATCGGGAAGGTAAAAAAAAACAAGGAGAAATATTTAATTTAATTTTTTATTTGTAAATACAGTGAACCCTCTATAAGTGCACCCCTTTGGGAACATAGTGCTATTTCTTGTGAGCGTGCATTTATGGAGGGTGTGCATTTATGGAGGGTGATTTTATAAGCTCTCTATAAGCTTGGGGATGAGATGGGCTGTGCATTTATGGAGGGTATACATAGTGCTTGCATTTAGGGAGGGTATACATAGTGCTTGCATTTAGGGAGGGTGCACTTAGGGAGGGTTCACTGTAAATTATTTCTTCATAATAAAAAAAATAGACGTGCACACGGCTCGTGTAACGTGATACGCCCTGATTGAATTTTCAACACTGATATCCCCAAGCATAGTGGACATTCGTCGTTACACAATATGTTACACAGAGTCCGTTGTTCCTGAAACTCCACCAGTATATAGTTGTCACCTCTCTAGGTTCATGAACAAATTGCGAACAAATTGAAATCCATTTTATCAGCAATTTTTTATTGAGACAACATTCACAGTGTATTGTAAAATTACAGTACACAACATTAAAAAATTAGTGTAACATTTTGAATGTCCATTATGCTTATCCCCCAAAAGAATTTTAATTTCTATAGTTGATGATTTAGCAATATAAATAAATAAATAAAATCATGGTAAACACAATAAATGAATTCCAAAAGAGAAATAAACAACTATTAGAAGAAAATGAAAACTTAAAGAAGCAATTAGCAGATAAAGAACAAGAATTTAAATTAAGAATTTTAAATGCAGTTAATAATGTTATGGAAAATGAAAGACCAGAAATCGCTGGAACTTTAATGACTTTACAACAACATTTTTGAGCTTGAGATGAATGAGTAAAGGTTCAAAAAGAAAATGGAGTTGAAAAAGCTACTTTTAGTAATGAATTCACCCTCGAAAACATTGTTAAAGGCTTTACTGAATGAACCTGACATAGTTCAGATTCCTTTGGTTTCATTTATGAAGAAAATCAAAAACTTGAAGAAAAGAATACTGTTTTAGAAGAGAAAGTTGTAGGATTAGAACAAACCAAGCGAGAATTAGAAGCCAACCCAAAAGAACTGGAAAAAAATTAGAGTTTGAGATGGCAAGTGCTGATTGCCACTTGGATGCTATTAATACTTGTAAAGACTGATATTTTACTCATCATGTTAATCTTATAAACAAAGAATTAGTGAATAAGTCAAACTTATTATCTACAAAACAAAAGATAATTGAAGGAAAAGATGAAGTAATTGGAAAATTAAAAAGTGAAATAAAAACAGAAAGAGAATTTCTAAGAAATGCTCACAGGAAAATAGAGGATCAAGACAAATTAATTAAATTGTTTGAAAAGCCTTTGCCTGAAATACCAAGTAAACCAAGTAAATTTAAAATTTTTAAATCAAAGATAAAAACTAAATTCCACCACTTAGTAGAAAAATTAATCATCGAAATCAAGAATTAGTTGCTCAAGTAGAAGTTAGAAATTAAGATTAAAAAGCAGTATGAAAGAATTGCTTTATACAGTGTTAGAATTGGAAGAGTGAAATAAAAATTTGACTTGCTGTTTTTGTTATAACAAATCTGTTTGCCAAATTTGAACTTGGAACAAAATAACTCATGAGATAATTGCTAATGATGAAGCATGTGAAAACTGTAAAGAGAAATTTGAAAACAATGAGTTAGAAAAGTGTGAGAGATGTGGAAGGTTGAAAAATAGGCACAGTTATGTTTGTCATTGTATTGTTGATAATGAAAATGTTGATGAAAAAGAACTCCCTATTGTGAGATTGTAAACTATGGACCAACCAATTGCCCGTTAATATTGACCAATTAGAACAAATTTACTACGGAAGTCATGTGATGCGCTAAATATTACATCATGACCAATATCTACTTCGAGTTATTAATCAAATTATTTGTATTGCTCAGAATGACTCATACATTGGATAGTATTAGTAATTATGAGTCATAGAATTAGTAATTGGCAATTAGTAAGCTAGTAATACAGAAAATAGGATTAATAAGCATATTTTATTGGATAAACTATTGTAAAGGTCATGTTATTTGTAATACCTCAAGATGTATAAAAAGGCTTGGTTTTAGACCAAGCTAAAGAGGAGATCGTGTTAATAATGTCATTAATGTTGATAACATTATTGTTAATATTGTTAATATTGATAATAACATTATTAATAATATTAATAACAATTGAATAAATACCCCCCCATTTGATTGTTCTCTGTTGCTTGTAGGGACACCTCAAGTAGTATAGTTGTAAATATTTCTTGTATATATTCTTTTTATTTTATTATCTTAGGCTTGTGCCAGCAGTACTTAGCATTAGTACTGTAAAGAAAGGGAAAGCGCACATAGATAGCTCCTAAGGGTGAGTGGAAATAGAGAACCTTGAGCCATGTGCAAGATAGGGAACTTATAATTATTGGGCACATCATGAGCTGTATCAGAAATCGCATGCCCGCACTATTTTACCTCATGAGGAAAGAGAAGCAACTTTTTATGAAAGACAAATAAACTCTTTGTGAGAAGAACTAATTACTACTGAGGAAGCACTTGAAATTGAAAGAGAAGAAGTAGTCAAATTTCAAGAAAAATCTGAAGAGTAGAGTAAAAAACAGAAACAGGAGTTATTGGATAAAGTAAAGGGTTTAGAAGAAAAAATTAAGCAACTAGAAGAAGAGAACAGGAAATTAAAAGAGGAAAATAATGGTAAAATTGCTCAAATTGAAGTCAAAGAGACTAAAAGATGGTCTTGATTGAAAATAAAAAAGTAATTTTTGGTTATTTCCCTCTGTATAATTCCAACTATCAAAGAAAATGATAGTTATTTCCTTTTAAAGGTTTCTGCTTTTTATTAGGTAATAATGCATCTTCATTCTGCTTTCTTTTTCCAACTTTTATTAGTTTTCTTTCTTCTTGGTAAATTTCATAGGTAATCTTTTCTTTCCTTAGATAAGTTTCTAGTGTCCGAGTATCATTTATTTTGAAAATGTAAGGAGCAATTTTTTCACCTTGTCCTTTCTTCAAAATGCTTCTAATGGTGCTATAATTCTTAGGTTCCATAGTAGATCTGATATAAATGAGTTTCATATTAATTATTTTTGTATAGAGGTAATTCTATATATCACTTAAAATAACAATGGGATATTATAAAACTGATAATTATAATCATATTACAAATGACTAAATTTTGATCCCCGAAATTCTTGGTGATACAGTGCAGAAGGCCTATAATGGGAACTTAGAAAAATTGAAATATCATGTGATCCACACATCAGATTTTTAAAAAAATACCACCATTGAACTCAGCTTTAAAAAAGGAATCAATTTATGGAATAAAAATTTTTTCTCAATTTTCAATTTGTAGATCTTTCTTAATTTAGTAATTTTTTATTTACAACAGTTTATTTAAATTGCATTGTTAATTTCATCATAAACCATATCAGGAACTTGTCTATGGGATTTATATTTTTTATTTGCAAATTCAGCTATTTTTCCTGTTAGACCTTTTCTGTAAATGTCCATATAACGCCATGATTTTTATGCATACAGTACACTCTCTCTATAACGGCCCTTTCTATAACGGTCTACACTCTATAACAAACTGAGAATTGGATCCCAATTTTTTACTATATAAAATCCTTACTCTATAACGGTTTTCTTAATTAAATTTTCTATTGTGTATAACGGCCTGTCTCTGAAATTCACCTATATGTTTTATATAACTGTCTATAATGGCCAACGATCATTATCTTGCTAAATTGGGAAATTTTCACCACATCACATCATATTATTAATATTGTCACCAATTATTTTTGGGAGAGCGTATTTTAATTGATGATAACAAATTTTTATTATTTTATGTGGATCA